ATGTACTATATGGTAGCAGTGAATATACTCATAATAAATTCTTAATTAAAATTCACGTGGTTTTAATTTTTTTTTTGTTTATGAGAAAAAAATTTCGAAGACGAAAAATCTCGGTTTGACGAACCCGACGAACGAATAAGAGTAGTTAAGACGAGCATGCAATCTTGTCGGTGCCTACTAAGAAAGTAAAGCAGAATTGATGGTTGACAAAGCTCAAATTTCAGACCCAGATCCAATCCAGAGCAGTTACCATCTCCACCACCCTTTGGTGGTTCTTAGCTATAGTTTTTATAGTCAAGTTTTTTACTTTTTGGATATGACTAGATTGGTTTAATTGTGAATTTATTCATTACCATACATTTTCAAAAGCGCACGAATATAAATACCTATATAAATTCAGTGTTAGTGTAGGGATCAATAAGAATCGAACACGACATATACTGATCAACGATTATAATCTTATGATGAGAACCAACTCATCATAATAACTCGAATTGAAAAAAATCTGACTATATAAAACAAATATATATTACATTCATCTTTAACAAATGGAAGGATTTGTCTTATGAAAAAACAGTTGGAAGCATCTCTCTTATACTTTTTCACTTTGGGTCGGCAAGAACATTGATGACACATTGACTAAACATAGAAAACTAAATAACGAAAATCAAATTACTAATCCCTTCTTTACTTTAGCCTTTGCCAAAAGAATAATGCAATCTCAACAAATGTTTGACTCTTATAGACTCCTATTTTATATGCTTAAGGCACAACTATAAATAGGAAAAAAATATATTATTTTGATTTGGTTATTAAGTTCCTACTTAATTGCAAAACACCCATCTTTTTTAGTAATATTTGTAACCTAAATTTTTTTTCTCTTCATTTCCATAGGAGTCATAAGAGGATTAAATCACACCCACATAATTACTATCATCCCTCTTTTCCCCCCTCTCCCTCATTGCCAATTAACTCCCATCCAACACAATGGGGAAAAGAATTGCTCATCAGATCAAAAAATTTGAATGGTAATGATAAATCTCTTCAACCTTCTCTTACATACCCTCCAATTTGCAAGAACAAGAGATATCCTTTCGCCTCCATTGGAAATTTCTCCACAAAACCAACCTAATGGAATCCATGATTCCTATCCAACACCTTAGAAGAAGTTCGTTACCAAAAGAAAGATTCTAATGAACAATAAGAAAACACATACACACATCAAACTCGAAAAATGAGGTCGTCACGAGCCAGAAAGCAAACGCTATCGGTCCTCCCCCATCAGACCCCGAGGCTTCGAGATCATTACGTGTTGGGCAAGAAACTAGGGCAGGGCCAGTTTGGGATCACTTATCTCTGCACCCACAAGACTTCCAACACGCCCTACGCATGTAAATCGATCTCCAAGAGGAAGCTCCTCTGCAAGGAAGACTACGAGGATGTCTGGCGGGAGATCCAGATCATGCACCACCTGTCGGAGCACCCACATGTGGTGAAGATCAAGGACACGTACGAGGACTCCATGTTTGTTCATCTGGTCATGGAGTTGTGTGCCGGTGGAGAGTTGTTCGACAGGATCGTGGCCAAGGGACACTATAGCGAGAAAGAGGCCGCCAAGTTGATCAAGACGATCGTTGGGGTTGTCGAGACCTGTCATTCTCTGGGTGTGATGCATCGAGATCTTAAGCCGGAGAATTTCTTGTTTGATAACCCTAGTGATGATGCCAAGCTCAAATCCATCGATTTTGGACTCTCCATTTTCTACAAGCCAGGTTAAATTTTTTTTTTTTTTTATCTCCCTCCCTCTCAATGATCATTGTGGTCATAACTCATAGTGATTTAATTAAATGATCTTTTGAGTCACGAATTTACTTCTTCTTTTTTTATTATTATCTAATTTTGATATGTAGGGCAAATTTTCAATGATGTGGTTGGAAGTCCTTACTATGTTGCCCCAGAGGTTCTTCTGAAATACTATGGACCTGAAATTGATGTATGGAGTGCTGGGGTTATTCTTTACATCTTACTATGTGGAGTCCCACCTTTTTGGGCAGGTAACATTGATTAAGTTCCTTAATTATGTTTTTAATCAATAATTATATGATATTTTGCATTGTGGCCTAATGTACTTTAAAATGTTGACAGAAACGGAGTCAGGAATTTTCAGGCAAATTCTACATGGGAAGATAGATTTTGTTTCAGAGCCATGGCCAAGCATCTCAGACAGTGCCAAAGGGCTCATAAAAAAGATGCTTGAGAAGGACCCAAGGAAGAGGATTTCAGCCCATGAAGTTTTGTGTAATTGAACTCATTCTTGATTTACTTGATTAACCATTTGTATAACCGCGATGAACTTGGGAGTATAGGTTATAACCCTCTCTCAAATTCTGGTATGAGATTATAATGTATAAGAGCTATTTACATCCCTTCTCTAAGATCTAGATTTAATGTTGAAACGATTATCCGATTTCTTGTTTTGCCCTCTATTCAATCTAAATTCTAGTTTCGTTGTTGTCTATTAGCTTACCTTTTATTTCCATTCACTAATTTATTTATTTTTTCCTTTTTTGTGATGATAAACAGGTGACCCGTGGATTGTGGATGATCTCGCTCCAGACAGACCTTTGGATTCTGCAGTTTTGTCTCGCTTAAAGCAATTTTATGCTATGAACAAGCTTAAGAAGATGGCCTTACGTGTATGAACAAACCATCTTCTTCTTGTTTCCACCTTCTTTTCATGCTAGCTAAAACGAACCGATCTTGCTATAAGCACGAAGTCGGTTCCTCTAACGAACACATTTTTCCTAATCGGGCTAGTATGGTTCAATCGAACTAGCTGACCTAAACCTAAGCAGTTTTCGTAACTGAATAAAGCTGATGAATCTATAGGTGATAGCAGAGAGAATGTCGGAAGAAGAAATCGGTGGGTTGAAGGAGCTATTCAAAATGATAGACACGGATAGCAGCGGGACGATCACGTTCGAGGAGCTGAAGAGCGGGTTACAACGAGTTGGTTCGGAGCTGATGGAGTCTGAAATCAAGGCTTTAATGGAAGCAGTAAGTGCAATTGATGACTCTTGTTCAAGACTGTCATCAACATTGCTAGAATGTAGTTGGTGATTAGTAGTGAAGCTATATATAGTTCAGCAGGGGTTAGAGTCCCTCTCAATTTTTGATCTAACGTTATATGTGTGTCAGTGTGTACTCATATATTAAAAAAAAAACATTAGAAAGTGGTAGGATGAGGTTAATTTCGCCTTTCAAGACCTAAGTTTAATCGTGGAAAATTATTGTCATTTGTCATTTTCAACCCCTACTCACTCTAAATACTGACTTCGTCACTGTTGATGATGAACATTGTTCTCTCCAGGCTGATATAGACAACAGTGGGACATTAGATTATGGTGAGTTTCTGGCAGCTACTCTGCACTTGAACAAGATGGAAAGAGAGGAGAACTTGGCAGCAGCTTTCGCTTACTTTGACAAAGATGGCAGCGGCTACATCACCATTGATGAGCTTCAACAGGCGTGCAAGGATTTTGGGCTGGGAGAGGATCCTTTGGAAGATATGATCAAAGAAATCGATAAAGACAATGTAAGTAACTTTAGCAAACGGTATAAGATCAATAACTGAAGCTCTCTTCCGATAATTTGAGTTATTATAAAATGTCTTTTGGTTTGACATGATATCAGAACCATCCTTCGCTCTGCGTCCCAGAGATCTTCTGGTCGGTTTTTGACGACCACATTTATTGAGCATGTGCAAGCTTCATGTTCATATGAATTAGTCTTCGTTTGAGAAGATGTGTTAGTAAATGATATCATATCTATAACCGAAACTCTTCCAACAACGCGAATTGTCGACACCGACTGAATCTTGACAAGTACTACTACTCCATTTTGAAATCAAATGTGATGATTTGCTTGTTGTTGTTGCAGGATGGAAGAATAGATTATGAAGAGTTCACTGCGATGATGAGGCAGAGCAGTGATGGGTCAGTAGGGACAGGGAGGAGCAGGTCCAGAACAGCCATGAGAAGCAGCCTAGGGCTCAATTTGGCCGATGCTTTTCGAGTCAATGACTCTCCTACACAGACTAATTGACACAAAATCTCATCTTTTTTTCCTTTGTTTTTTGGGTTTGCTTTTGTAACTTTAATTTTAAATTCACGAAAGAGAAAATCAATTTTTTTTTTTTGCCTTTTAGACAACTATCTATATTCATGTTAGTTGTCATCGGCACATAGTGTGTAGATTGTAACATTTGAAATTGTTTTTGTTCCTAGCCATAGATGATATCATAGTACTGTTGTATAAATGTATGTATCGAGAAAAACTGGGATTGAATTTTCAAAATTTTGTAACGTGTTCTTTGTTTAAACGAATTGGTATGTGATATTTATAGATCGATAGAGAGATAAAATCGTTGTCATAGTCAATGACTCAATGGTCAAGTAAGATACATATGGACCTTGCCACGGAAGTGTGCACAATTTCAATCGCAATGAGACGATACCATAGTAGGGTCCAAACTAAAACAATGCATGAACCTTCTACCTCAAACAGTGCAGTGGAACATCTAACAGTGAAGTTCAAAAACTTATCACTATGTAAGTTGCTCCACCGATCAAGTAAGATACAAAATTATCACTCAAAATTGAGTTTGTTAATGGATATTTTTTAACATAAACATTTATTTGCTATCGAACCTTAGTATAAAAATTTCTTTCGAAAAATGTATTATATAAAAACTATTGTTATTATTTTCATAGTACAGAGACTTGTATCAGTATGCATGGCTATTAAACGGGCTCATCCACCAGCAAATCCTTGTAAATTGTAACTCTTGGTGAGTTGAAAGGTTGGGCTGAAAGCCCAATCAGCAGGCTTTACCCCATCAAATGATTGGGCCGTTGGGGGTTTGAGCTAATTACCCTGAAATCCATTACTACCCCAAAACGACGAAGTATAGAAACGGATAGGAATATCGGATAGAGTCTTCCCCATTTCCCCCTTCTTCGAGCTGCAACGACACGCACTCACAGAGTCACAGTCCAAGCTCGTAAACAATGGCGTCCACCTCCTACACACTCTTCTCCCTCTGCTCCTCTTCCTTCAATGTTCACTGCAAAATTTCCCCTACATCCTCCCTCTCAAAGCCCCTTTCTTTCACCAAGCCCAATTTCGAGTCATCCTTCAAGCTTCCTCAAAAGCTCTCCTTCTCATCCTCACCTTCTCTTCCTCAATCTGCCACTGTACCCAAAGTCTCCCAAATCGACGCCCCCGACGTCGCCGAGACCGAACCCGAATCGCCCCCCGCAGCGACCCAGATTGTGGAAGTTTCCAAGGAAGAAGCGCCCAAAAGGGAGGAGATTTTTGCTGTTGTTATGGTATGAATGTAATATGATATCTCAGCTGTCTCAATTTGAAGGGGGTCTTTTCTAGTGTGCTTAACGAATTTTCGTTGATGGGTTCTTCAATTTGAACTCCATTTATTCAGGTTGGTGGGCGGCAGTATATTGTGATCCCTGGGAGGTTCCTCTATGTTCAGAGGTTGAAAGGCACAAATGTTAATGATAAGGTATTGTCTGGCTCCCTCACATTGCTCAAACTGTTGTAGTGCAACTGCAAGCTTCGGCCTTTTTCAAATTGTATTTGTAGACGTGAGTTCCCAATTTCTTCTATGTAATAATGAACATGATGTTATGGCGAAATGAGTGATGCTTCATCTGTTTGTAAATCTATTATGCCTTTATTTCCAGCTCTAGTTATCGTTATCAAGGATTGTCGTTCTTATGCTGTTCGTGTTGGTCGTGTTTAGATCGCCCTAAACAAGGTTTTACTTGTGGGAACCAAGACAACTACCTATATTGGGAAGCCTGTGGTGACCAATGCTGTTGTTCATGCTGTAGTTGAAGAACAGGTTGGTTTTCACTTGCCTGTCTTGCACCATGTGTTGGTTTTCGAGATTTGCTGGTGATTTCTGATTTCGCTCTCTTAATGTATTGTTGTTGCTGCTGCCTTTGTACCTCAGGGGTTGAATAAGAAAGTTATCGTTTTCAAGTATAAGAAGAAGAAGAACTACAGGAGAAACATTGGACACAGACAGGTAACTTCTGCTTCCTTTGTTTTTATTAGTTTAGTGCTAGAGTCTTTGTTTCATGAGAAGAAGAACACACGATTGTGCCGCCATTATTAGGATGTTTGTTTCTTGAATGGATTTGTCAAGTTCCTTTAGATACTAGGTTAAAAGTTCTTCTGTGTACGAGAAAAGAAGTGTGAAAATTGTTTGCCATCGTCGGAGTTAATATGGTTTGCGCCTTCAATCTGCTTATTCCTGTATACCCGCTTTCCGAATCTACTTCTGAGCTTGTTGATATCGCTTCACTCTCCTGGTGATGGCTTTGAGAGGTCAAACAGATTTGGATTGTTTCCTTGACCAATGTCTCAAGGAAGACCTGGTAGAGGGGAAACGAAGAAAAACAGAGGATCATAATTCGATTTTCCCACTTTTCACATTACTACCACTACTGCTAATCATGCACAATTTTATGCTTATTAGTTATTTCCCAGCTATTCACTCATTAATGTGTTTTGAGCCATTTTAACTTGTCACTGCAGCCAAATACAAGAATAAGAATTACAGGCATTACGGGCTTCGAAAACTACCCGGCTGTCACCCTCGACTCAATTGCGAAATCAAGTTGATTAAGACCAGTAGCTGGAAGTTCAACAGGACAAAGAATTCTTTGAAGTTCTATTTCCCCTTTTTATCTCCCCTGTTGTATTACACAGCTCCTCTATAGGGTAGTGCTCAAGCTCAATATGCGAATACTGTTGTTCCAAGTTCCAACAACAGACTGGATTCCGGGTTCTCAGAGTAGCTTCGAAGCAGAACGAGTGCTAAATATTATGCGTCTGTGTACGATATTTTGTAAGCAATAGCTGCTGCTAGGCTCATAGCTCAAAAAGTTTTCCAAAGCTGCTGTCCTGTTTCAGTTCAGCAGTAGATTAGAAAGTTGGGTTTTCTAATCTTCTTTTAAAAACCCTATATTTACTTGTGCAAATCAAACTTCTAACCTTCTGTGTAATGTTAATCATAACATGGTACCGACAACCATTAAATTTCATCTCCACTCTTTCAAGAACGTAACTGCAGTCTTTACTCAGTATCCAATCTCACAGCAATTTGATCTAATTCTCTAGACCAGAGCACAACATGCATGCCCCAGAACCATGGTTGTGAAATTGTTTTGGACTCCTCTCAAACTGGACCAATTCGAACCACCCACCTTAGCTAATCAAGATGCTTCATCAGCAGTTAGTCGACGCAGGCATCTTACAACTGACAATTTCTCACAGGAACAAGGGCAGTAGAATGCAAATACAACAAAACTTGCAATAATTAAAGCTAAAGCCTACTGATTTCTAAACTTTACTATGCGCTGTTACATGGTTTTCCCAATACAACATTCTGTCAGTGCAGTATGACTATCCGAGATCTCACAAAAGCTTATCTAGTAATCTGCAGATGGGAGATTATGAGTTGAACATTACATTCAAAATGAATATGTCGGAACTTTAATAGTGATCGAAGACATGTCTATGCACTATCTTTCCGATACTGTGTGCCATCATAACGGGAGAGAAGTAATCAACCCGTAAAGTATCAACTGCTTAAGATGCCACATAAAGGCTTCCTGGTGGTGCACTAATAAATATTGCCACCAGCTTCCGTGCTTCGTCGAAGCCCTTCCTCTGGCTTTATTCGTAAATCCGCTTTCTCTTCAAGAGAGTAGGAAAGATGGAGATGGAGCCGATGATGAAGAGCACGGATAATGTTTTAAAATCGTATAGATCTTTCACCGACTTCAGATCCCCAAGGGCAAGCCCAGCCTGATATATCACAAAAAAATGCAGCACCAACAGGAGGGATGAAGAGTGCAATTAGTACAATAATGAATGGACACAAGAACATATAAAGAACTGCTGACCAAACCTGAGGACTCTAGGTGCTCACTTTATAGTAGAAACCACAGCACACAACCAAAAGGAGACCAGAATTGATCATTTGAATTCAGCATCAGAATGACGAGTGTACCAGAATGGTTGGCCTTTACTAGCTATACTATATTGGCACACGACAAAACAAGTGATAGAGCTTGTTCTATTCAACATCAAGATAGCAATGATATAAATCAAAACCCTCCATAAAAGCAGCCTAAAAACGTTTCAGGAACGTGCAGCATTGCTGCCTCAAAAAGAAGGGCGAAAATGAGAAGCATATCAACCTTCAGAGACCAAGGTGAAATTAAAGATACGAGACAGACAACAAGGAATTCAGGCACAGAGATTATCCAGTAAAGGAAGGAAACAGAACAAACATGTTTGTCACCCTCAATGGCAGTCCACATGTAACATGCATGTCACTATGCTATGACCAACAGAAAGATAAACAGAAAACCAGCCAGTCTACACAGATACAGGCATCTACCAACAAAGTCAGAAACAGAGAAAGCTGGATAAAGACAATAACAGGTAGGCACATCAAGAGGGAAAATAGGAACTTACCCTCACAGTAATATAGGATGCTGGAATGAGACCAATCAAAGTAGCCAAAAAGAAAATATGAAACGGTATGTCCACGATAGGAGATGCCAAATTGATGAATAGGTTAGGCAATGTGGGTGTTATCCTCAAGAAGAGCATGTAATTCAGTAGCTTTTCCCGACGTTTCGCTATCTGCATGACGGGAAAAAGAAACTAGTGCTTCATAAACGCAGCAACATCCAAAGGAATGACATGTTACATGTGTCTATTTATTCAATTACCTCCCCCTGAAAAAATCTCAACTTTTCAGGCCACAACCAACTAACGAGAGGACGGCCAATCAGCTTAGACAAGAAGAAGCAAGAAGATGCTCCGGCTGTTGCATTTAAAACAACCAAAAAAAGACCCCTTATAACACCAAATAGAGCTCCAGCTAGCAATGACATGAAAATTGTTCCGGGAATCATGAAGGTCTGCATGAAGATGTAAGTCGAACAGTAGCCGAGGATGAACTGTGCAGGATGATCCTTCGCATATGTTCCAAGATGTTCTCTGACCACAAAGTGATTACACACATTAATATCTCATCTCATATCACAAAATTTTAGAAATGTCTCCTACAATTACCACAACAAATTTCAACCAGCTATATCTAAAAGCACGAGCAACTGTTCCTACACATATCTGAACCTCATTCAGCAGTATTGATACTTTACAGGGTCCCTGAAATAGCTTGAGGCTAGAAGGACCAACTGAGCAAAATCCATAGAAACCCATGACTCAATCATTCCATCACTCTCAGGTTTCCCAATGCGTGCACCATTATTCACCTATACAGCTTAAACCCAGTCACACTACAATTCATAAAGCAAAGACCACACCACGCTTAATTCAATCGAGTGATTCATCAGCACCATTGCAAGCCCCACAACAACAAGGAAAACAGCTAAAACCCAAAATCTCTTTCTGCACAACAGTGATGAAAACAGAAGGGGGAAATGGAAGGAAGGACGAGCGGTATATTACTTGAGCAAGCGGAGATCGGAGATAGTGCGAGGGATTTTGAGCTTGCCGTACTCAGCCGCAGGCATGGTCCAGTAGATGCAGAACAAACCAGTAGAGAAGACGAAGAAAACGGAAACAGCAGTAGCTAATTCCCATCTGGAAAAGGGGAACCTCTCGAACTTGGATTTCTTGCTGGACGGAGAATCGTCCTCTTTCGCCTTCTCTTCATCCCTCATTCCCATCCTGTTGCCTCCGCTACTCACAGTCAACCCACCACTCTCAACCACCGCAATACTCCTCGGTGCCGCCATTAATCTCGATCCATAAAAAGAAATTTTCCCCCAGGAAAGAAAATGGAGAACAACTTTCGTTTACCGCCGAATTTGACCCATCTCAATCTGGGTTCGAGAGAAGAGGGAAAACCCACAACCTTTGAATCGGAAAGAGGTTTGCTTTGCTTCCGAATCCGAGAGTCGAGAAATTGGAAATAAATATAACCTATAGGGAAGGAAATAGAAGGATGGGTGGGGGAGGCGAGGCAAGGCAAGGCACGAAAAGAACAGAAAATAAAAGACAGATTCTTATTTTTCTTTTCGCCTTTTAAATAATTTTGGGTAGCTTTTCATTGATTGTAATTTTGCATTCAAAATGTTTTTTTTTTTTTTTAACAATATTTGTATTCAAAAGCTAATTGCGGTATTGAGGGGGGAAAATGAAAATCCCCACTGTCTCGACCATTCTTTAAATTGTGTTCCACTGATGTTGAACACGGTCGACCATCTGTATGCTTGTGCAGTTGTGCTGCTTCGAGTAGATCAATGATATATTATTCGTTGACTGACCAGAGAGACCGGACTCATTTTCTGGTTTATGTCCAATCCCACTGAAAAGAAAATGAAAAAAGAGAGTTCTAATATCTAACTGTGCTCTCGTGGACAACTTATGTTGAACACGGTTGACCATCTATGTACTTGACTACTTGTGCTGATATTCTGTCCGTTGACTGAGCAGAGGAGAGGAGACCGGACTCATTTCTGTTTGATGTCCAATCCCAAGAAGTAATTGGACACATGGCGAGATCATCACTTCTGGGAACTTCTTCAGCACCTTCAAGAGATCATCGTCCGATAGCCCAAGAGACCTCAAATAATCCAACATACCATGTACTACTTCAAATCTTGGGACCTATTGCTTTCGCTCTTCCCTGCATGAGTCCCATGTAGACCGTTCTTCATCAGTCAAAAGTAGAGTTTGAGGGTCTGCAGTCGATGAACGTATTGTCCAGCTCTTGTGATGCGTGTGCCATTTGGTTAATGCTGGAGGTAGAAGTGCAGTTGCTGCAAGGTCATGCTGCAACAATGTAAGTATCGTACAAGAAAATGTCTCAGTCACGCTGCATCAGTAGCTTTCAGCAACGGTTCTGTATCACAATTATGCATTCTGCAAATCCCAGTTACTGCAATTGGAGATGGTTAGAATGTCCTTAACATTACATTGTCCTGTATGAAAGAACACAGAAGGTAAACTATAGAGAAATTTCACACATATGACATTTTAAGCACCATAGTCAACTGCTTCAAATTGTTAAATGCCACAGATATACATCAATGAATATGTCGAAACCTACAATGTATTAGGATGGATCAAAATGAGCCAGCCTGCCTGACTCAAGTGATCAGTGTTAAGCTCAAGAGTGTTATGACATTTGAAACACCATAATCAAGTGCTTCAAATTGTTAAATGCCACAGAGATACAGCAGTGGATATGTCAAAACCTACAGTGTATTAGAATGAATCAAAATGAGCCTGCCTGCCTGACTCAAGTGAGCAATGATATGCTCAAGAATAGCAACCAGTGCCATTAGTTTGTGCTATACATCCCACAACCAAAAGGAAAATGAAAATCACCTACTGAACTACATCACACCAGTAAACTGTACATCCACAAGTTCTTCTGCACAAATATATGTCTCTTCCAGCAACTGTGCTTGTAAGGTCCGCTTTCTAGGCTTCTTCCTCTTCAGCTTCTTCTAGCCAGCGGATAAAAGGCTTCAGGTCCTCCAGAAATGTTTCTCTACAAAAAACAAGACCAAAATAAATGAAAATAAACACATTTAAGAAGAATATTATATCAAATTAACCAATTTGCATTACCTGCCATCAGCATTTGTCCCCTTGTAAAACCAGTTCAGAATTACATCCTCACAAAGAACATCAACATCATATAGCACACGGATCACCCGAGCAAAGAGATTCAACATCTTCGGCTCTCTCCAGCAAGTTTTCTGTACACTGTTGATCAGTTGCATCTGGCAAGCTGTATTGCCAGAGCAAAACCTTTCGAAAATCACATCACCACATCTAGACAGATGGGAGATTGCAACCATTTCACTATCCTTCTGATTAGTTCCACTTCCTGGCCACTTAACAGTCTTTACAATTGCTTCCCACAGGAGGCCAGCAGCTTCTATCACTGGAACTCTGGACTTGGCAATGATCCCACTTATTTCTTTAGCAATGGTAGTTGGAGCCTTCAGATCCAAATCCCCCAAAAATTCTGAAAAATTAGCCTCCAACTCCTCCAAATCTGCCTCTTTCTGTTGTCGTTCCAGGTAGAGGACAATTTGGTCGTTTCCTTCCTCCCTGAAATGATTACACAGTAAACAACCCCAAGATTGAAAGAAAAAAAAAATGAAAAACATAGAGAAGAAATAGAGGAGACAGGAATACATACTAACCTCATATATGCAATGAGGTCGTTTAAGCTCTGCTTTCCGGTTGGAAGGAAACTCACCATGCTTGTTTATTAGTAAGTGCTTCATAGGTTTCTTTGCTTCTGATTTGCATAGGACAATCTGAATTTCTTAATGTCTTTCTGTTTGTCAATAAACGAACAGGTAGTTTTCCTTGGGTCCTCTGCCCAGTCTCGCTCCATGGTTCCTGTTGAGAGAGGAGGAAGGAACCTATACGCCATTTTCACGGGAGATTCCACCGAGGTGAGCATTCAGGGATGGGTAACATTGTTAAAGAAGCTGCTTAATCTTCGCCCAGCCTTGAGAGCTCGCCTCTAGGATGTGATGAGAAGGCTCATCGCCTCTCTAGCTGTTCGCGGACAGCCAGAAATGGTGAAGCTCGCTATGTTCCTTGCTAAGGCATTATCAGTGAAGATGCCTGGTATTGTGGCCAAGCCTATATTTCAAGCTCTGTACAATGATTCTTTACTCAAAAGTGGGTTAGCAATAAATTTCGTGGTAAACTTCTCTAAATTCTTTCTGAAAGAGAAGGAAGATGGGCTGCAGGACTTGTTGACTCTGTTTGGTGGAGAAACAAGCATGGTGAGTTTCCTTCCAACCGGAAAGCAGAGCTTAAACGACCTCATTGCATATATGAGGTTAGTATGTATTCCTGTCTCCTCTATTTCTTCTATATGTTTTTCATTTTTTTTTCAATCTTGGGGATGTTTACTGTGTAATCATTTCAGGGAGGAAGGAAAAGAATTTATTGCTAACCCACTTTTGAGTAAAAAATCATTGTACAGAACCTGAAATATAGGCTTGGCCACAATACCAGGCATCTTCACTGATAATGCCTTAGCAAGGAACATAGCGAGCTTCACCATCTCTGGCTGTCCGCGAACAGCTAGAGAGGCGATGAGCCTTCTCATCACATCCTGGAGGCGAGCTCTCAAGGCAGGGCGAAGATTAAGCAGCTTCTTTAACAATGTTACCCATCCCTGAATGCTCACCTCGGTGGAATCTCCCGTGAAAATGGCGTATAGGTTCCTTCCTCCTCCCTCAACAAGAACCATGGAGCGAGACTGGGCAGAGGACCCAAGGAAAACTACCTGTTCGTTTATTGACAAACAAAAAGACATTAAGAAATTCAGATTGTCCTATGCAAATCAGAAGCAAAGAAACATATGAAGCACTTACTAACAAACGAGGAATAGGGACTTACTTCAAAAAATCTGTCACCATACTTAGACAGTTCTAGATCACTTCTCTCTAAGCTCTTAGAGAGCACTGCAAAGTCCCCGCCACTCTCGTTCAAAACCCTCATAAAGGATTCTGAAAAGGCTCCAGGATCAAGGGTATTCATCTGGTGCTTCTTCATACTCTGGCTGAGAGATTTTCCACTGAAAATCGTGACAAATTAGATAGTAAATACGAAACTCAGAGAGGGGGATTGGAACAAGGGCATAAACCAAAACAGAGGTAAGTTGCAAAATCGAAGGAACCCAGGAAGAAAACACGAGAAGCAATTCTTGAAAGAAGAATACAATGACTGAATCACAGAAGAGAAATTGCCAGTTTCCCAGGAAACTGAGCGATAAGTCACCCTAAACCAGATAAGAACATAAAGTAAAGAGAGAGAGAGAAAGAGCGAGTGGGAGGGATTTCAATTTCGGGTTCTACCTCGAGATTGGAAGTGCAGGAACACAGGAAGCAAGCAAAAGAGCCAACAATCGAAAGAAGAATGACAATAAACGAAGCACTGAAGAGGAATTCGAGTTTCCCATGGAACAAGAAAAAGTACTAACCCTAGAACAGAGTAGACCAGAACGGTAAAAGAGAGAGATAGCCCGCGGGAGAGATTTCAATTTCGGGTTCTACCTCGTGATTGGAAGTAACAATTTGTCGAACACAAAATGGGCAACTAATCAATTGAAACTCAAACTGCCTTGACCTTATACATACATGTGCGGTGATGAGAAATATGGATTTAATACATATCACCTCCCTTACAAACAATCAAATCTTCATTATTATGCAATTAAATGCGAGTTATAATCAAGTGGTCTGGATGTCTATGTTAAATTTTGAAACACACGAGATGGTGTAATCGTTACAATAGGGGCATTCACCATTTGATGCAAACGTTTTGAAAATTGAGTTGATCGTAATAACAATGTGACGACCCATTTGACGGTCTTTCATATACAATATTATTATTTTTGTTGGCCGTTAATAGAGTCCAACTCCGTTTCTTGGTTTTAAGTTGTTAGCTATGCCCACTTAGTTATAGTATCTGGATCATGGTTGTCGTGACGGTGGCATGCCACCCGGTTGAACCTAGTTCAACCTGTGCCGGTTATGAAATCGGCATGACACCACCGGTATGACTGGTATGATCGACTTACGCATTTTAAGTAAAATGACATTATTTTAATGAATTTACTGAATAAAAAAATTAATTTATTATTCATTTTATGAATGTAACAGTTAAAAGTTAATGATATTTGTTGGATTGTAACTAAATTGTATACAAATATTTTTTATATATGATTAAATACATTGGACATTAAGTGTTTTCACATTTTTTTTAAACAACTGGTTATACTACCGGTCGTACCATTTCACTTGCCAAACCGGCACAACGGTATAAACCAGTTTGACAACCTTGATCTCGACTAGACAAAACAAAAGAATGAAGAAACCCATTTTTTGAATTAGCAAAAATTCAGTACGAAAATTAACAAGCCAATAGCTCTACGCCTCTACCATATTGATCGACAACATTAAAAAGCGTTCAAGACTTCCTTACAAAGACCTCTCTCTTTTTTTTCTTTTTTTTTGCCTACACTACACCCTGCAGGCGTGTGAAGCTGTTTCGGCCCATTAACAAGTCCACAAGCTTAGTCGAATCAATCGCAGGACGTGGTCGTGGGCCTCTTTCCTACCAGTTAGCTCGTGGGCCTCCTCGCGGGATCTCTGTTGGAGAAGGAGAGAAGGCTGCTAATCCGAAGCTCTTACGGATTTGAAGACTAGCGCTGGGCGCTGGGCGCTGGCGCCAAGAAGGAAGTTCAAAATAAAGTCTCTGTTATTTTTAGGGATGGCAATGGGTCGAGTTGGGGCGGGTTTTGTCAAACCCAAACCCAAACTCATGGGTTTATCATCCAAAAAAATTCGGGGTAAAACCCGTTGTGTTTGAAAAACTCAAACCCAACCCAACCCGCTGGGTATCCGCGGGTTCATGGGTACCCGTGGGTTTTTGTGGTAAAAAATTTACAATAACAATTTTCTTTCAAAATAAAAGTTTAACATCAATTTTCTCATACAAATTAATCATACAAAAAAACATCAATCTAGAGCATACAAGCAAATCGCAAATGATCAATACAAATTGTTCAAAATTAAAGATAAACATCTATAAACAAAAGATTAATTGAAAACTTCTTCCTCGTCAACTAAGTTTCTTCACTCTCCACTTCATAATATCAACTTCATTCTAAACAATTAGAAAGAACAAATTATACATGTCTCCACAAACATAAAGAATATTAATTATTTAAGGAAAATATATTATTTAGAATATTAAATATACCGGGAAAGTAATTATACATGTGTGGGCGGGTACCCATGGGTCGGGTTTACCTAAACCCAAACCCAACCCGACCCGATGAATAGTGTAGCGGGTTTAAACCCAAACCCGGCCCAAAACCCGTCAACACGGATTTTACCCGCGTTGACCGGGTTGGGTCGGGTGGGTACCCATGGGTTCGGGTTTTGTTGCCATCCCTAGTTATTTTGTTCTTGTAAAATTGTGTCATTCTAGTTTTGTTCATTTAGACGCTTCAGTTTTTTTTTATTATGTTGCATTTGAGTTCTTGTAAAATTGTGTCATTCTAGTTTTTTTTATTATTATTTCATTTTAGTACCTAAAAATTTTCAAAAGTTATATATTGGTCCAAAACTTGGATGCCATTTAAATTTATGGATCAATCCATCAATCCGCATAACCCAATCCATTAGATCCACCATTCCATTTGCCACCTTTAGTACCTAGGTTTGGGCTTTGCGTTGTTGCTTTTCACTGGCAACCGTCTTGAAAGAATTATCATTTTGTGTTTAGTTCCACTTCCACTTCCACATAGTTAAAAAAATAATTTTCGATACCCAACTATTATAAATAGATTATACCAGATAGTTTACAAATAATTTTGGAATTCCGCGATATTTTGACACAAATCATCACGAGTAACTTGGACAATATCATATTAATGGAGTGATCTGGTTTCAACAAGTGTGTCGAATTTGCATAGATAAACGTTGGGGGTTCCTTCCCAAGCCTTATACAAACTAGTTCAAAATGAACAATACCGTAATAATGAAACTATATGCTTTTAACAAGTGTGTCAAATCCACATGGATATCCTTTTAGGTTAATTCACAAAAGACTCTGAACACTTATATACCATAATTATTACCTCTATATTTCTCATGTGGTACTTGAACTGAAACATGACGATAAGACATAAAAGAGGAGGAGAAATGATACATATATATATATTAGTAAGAGTGCATATGCATATGCACCATCCAATTGATGATGCAGTTATCTAGCTATATGCAATTTACAATTAGCAAATCAAAACATACGAAAGTGATCAAAAGCAATCCCCCCAAAGAGAAAACTAAAAGCATCTGAAAGACCAAAAAGAGAAAGAGAAAAAAAAAAAACCTATGGCATACGTGCATGGGGAACCAAATAAGATTCTCACAAGATGTAAGAAAAGAAACCATCGTATAATGTCGTTACGAAAATCAAACTACTTGAATCAATCATCAGGAAAACAATCTAGAAAACAGGAACCATCGTCGGCTTCGATCGATCCACCGCTTCCGGAGTCCAGCATCAACATCGGGAGAGACGACGAGAAGATCATCTGCGACGAACTCGAGCCGTCGATGTTGGCTTCTTGGGACACAAGCAACTCCTCCAAGTTATTGCTCTTCAAATTGCCACCGGCTGCCATGGTGTTGGTGGTTGCACCAAAACTTGCTGAGATGGCATTATTGGGGCTGTCGAGCAGCTGCGGGAGCTGATGATCTTGACGGTGATGGTGGACGACCATCAGCTGGCTGTTCATCATCATCATGTCAGTGAAGGACTGGGAACTAGGGGAGATTATAAGCTGATTGTGATCTTGATTGTGGATGTGATGAGGATGATGATGATGAGGTGGCAAGTATTGGTGGGATGTTGATGAACAAGCTTCAGATTGTGATGAGTGTAGAGGATTGTAGCCATGGTGGTGGTGGTGGTGGTTCCATTGGTGGTGATCATAGCCTTGCCTTTGGTTGGGAATTGGCTTCTTGAATGCTCTACATACCACCCATCCTTCTTCCTGCATTAACATATCGTTAATCCAGCGTTTAAAGTGAGGAGGGACTGAAAATAACAAATCGTGGGAACAGGTTTCCTACAATTGAATCTAAATTTACGGAGTAATAACATATATACATTATAACGTTGGATCAAAAAATGAGAGGGGCTCTGTCAGTGGCGGAGCCAGGAAATTTATATAGGGGTGTCCTCTTTCAAAAATTAAATAAATAATTTTAAATTAGAAACTATCTAACTAATACAAGTTACGACAAAAGTCTACGGCGTGTTACAAAATATACTCAGTGTCTAGACGGCCCAACAAATATCTCCATCTTACTATACTATCATTCACAAACTGATAATTTAATCAATTTCGAAACTTGTTCTTAAAGTTTCCCAAAACTAAATATGTTATTTCAACACCTGCAGTTGCAATCGGTAAAATCAATTGCTTTGAGAAGCAAGTAAACCAATGGATATGATAGAATGGAGGGAATAAGGATAACCCGTAATGAGGTTCAATTGTTAGATTTTCAAAATATTTGGGAGAAGGAATATCATTTTTACTATAAAACTAGTGTTTAAAATACAATAACAAATGAGTTGTGGTCTAATGAAAAACATGTTTACTAATAATCTTAGTATCCTAATTTAAATCACCTAGTCTACAACTTATATTTATTATCCACACGAAAACTACTACCGAGAATTGGATAACCGTTATCCCAAAAATTAGAGGGTGTCCCAGGACACCCCAATATCCCTGGCTCCGCTCCTGGGCTCTGTAGCCCCTCTCCTGCTGAACTACACGTAGCTCCACCACCATTCGGTTAAAATCGAGGAATCGTTGTTATGTATGTACCTGAGTGGGTGCGTTTTGGGAAGTCTGGAGGCGATACTCGTGCATGATCCAGTCGGTCTTCATTCCGTTAGGAGCGCGTCCCCGGTAGAAGACGAGCGTCTTCCTCATCCCGATGATCTTGTTCTTCGACAGCACCGCCTTGTCGCGGCCGGTGGCCTTCCAGAATCCGGCCGCCGTGGCTCGGTTGGTCCGGGTTCCGGTCGGGTACTTCCGGTCCTTGTGGCTGAAGAAGTACCACTCCGTCTGCTCGTCGTACCCTAGATTGCATGTGGCTGCAAGTACGTAGGTAATCCAATCATAATTAATGATATGTATATAGTTAGTAATTATTATCACAATTTGTTCCGAAATGCATATAACTCCGTTAATTTTAGGATTTCGTGAATTCCGAGAAATTGGTCTAGCGTGAAAACGTGAACCCCCGAATATATTGTAGCCCGTTCATGTGTCTTCAGGTTAGATTCTAATGAAGTGGATATAATAACCTTAAAAAATGATTTTCTTTCTAAGCTAGATTATGTGCGACAAAATAAGAGTAATGTCTGTTCAGAATATTATATTCTAATAATATATATGGTAAATGACGGATGTACTTTATAATATTTCAAGTGATATGGTCATTGGATATACTTTATTGTACTTTGACGAATCAAAATATTTAATTATTATTTACTATTAAATTGATCTTCAAAATTAAATTTAGAAAATTGGGTTGTGAGATTTATAGAGTTTAGAGTATTGTATCATATCTCAAATTCGATTTAATTTCTTATTCAAATGGATGTATATTTCTTGAAATATCTAGAATATAGTTATATTTTAAGATTACACCAATCTAACTCTTAAACTTCTATTCACGCTAAGACAAATAAACACTTCTAACTTTATTTAATTTGCTGTTGTCATGTTTCTATTGATGAATGATTAACGATCCACAGAGAAAGAAAAGTATGCCACCTTTTGAAGCCGTTAAATTCCTTTCACACGAGGGCATATATATTTCAAGTCTTTAAGTCTCTCTTTACGTGCCTAAAACACTCAATTTTGTTCGTTTGGCATGTTTCCACGTTAATCACTACAGAAATATTCATGACTATGAGCTAACATAACCACTTGCATTAGTAAGATCTCACTATATAAACCTCCTAATGATCATTAAAAATTTGATAATATCGTATTACGAAACCGTCAAAGAATGGTCTAACATGATTCTCATACATGTAGCAACATTTGATGGTGAAATTAGTGAAAAAATAGTATACCTTGGATGTCCCACGGCTCCATCTTGTACAGATCAACGTCAACAATAACATCCAGATCGATTTTCAAAGAGTTAATCTTCCTCTTGAGGTAGTACCCAACAAGTTCTTCTTCTGTTGGGTGGAACCTAAACCCTGGTGGAACACAAGATTCCATCTCCATCTCTCTCCTTCTTTTCTTCAATCCATTATGATTGCAACACAAAAAGAAAAAGAGAGAAACAAAGTTAGAAACCCAACACATGTGTGAACAACTATCTTGTCAATAGATTGAATAGGAAGACTTCTGAAAATGGGAAGACAATAATAATCAATCATATCCTATATCTCGTTTCGCTGACAAGTTATAGGATGTCGTTGTATGCAATACGATTCTGCCTTATCTCTATAAATACTCGACAAATTTATAAAATTAAGAAACTCCTGCTTCATCGAGATATTGTTAGTCCATCATCATGACCCTTCCCTCACTATATCCACCCCTCTATATCAAGACATATAGGTTATACATGATAGCTATTCCTAGCTATATATATGCTATCATGATCATTAGAACTTCCTTTATGGTGGGGTCTAAATGTTTTGTATCCCATGTTTGTGCTACACTCTTGCTACCCAAATCAAAAGAAGTTTTGAACTTTTGATGAATTGCTATATACTAGCAAAATAGGGTTGATGAAATTGAAAAGGTGGCAAGTGGCAACCCTAATGGTGGAAACCCACTAGCTAAGGCCAAAATAACCCAATAAAGAAGATATTTTTTCTGTTGCTGTTTGAATCCTAGGGTCGACAAAACATGAGAATAGAGACAACATATCATCAACTTAATTAGTGACCTATTAATATTAGGTCTTTGTTGGCTTTGCATGAAGTTTGTTGGTCACAAAAACCAAAAATGGGGAAAATATGTTTTAAAAATAGGAAAAAGGGAAATTTTTGAATTAGCCGAAAAGCTTGACTTTGTTTGTCAACCAGAAGCATGTTCGATCTGTACAACATGTGTTTCTTTGAGTGCAGTTCACTGCTCCCCACTCTCTCATGTCGTGTCCCTCTTCTTCTTCTTCTTTTGGTCCAACACTAATTTTCACACACCAACCACTATAAACTTCCTCCTCTCTATGGCTCTACCCCAACCCCACAAATACATACATTAATAGTAACCGTATACCTAAATTAAACATTAATGCCATAATTCGATTTATATAAGATTGAAACACCAAACATTTTATTTTTTGTAAAAATCTAATATCAAACCTCATTTCAGCGACCCGGATCGGATGATTAAACGAATGATCATATTCACTATGAATTAGAATGTTTATAGTTCTTTGTGTCACTTCTTCGGCGCCACCCTATAGTAAATATAAGTATAATCATGTTCACAATAGTCTAATATCGAAAAACAAATTCCCGCTCTGAACTCGTAACTCATGTCGAGACGACCCACTAACAAAACGATCTTTCTACAATCAGCTCGTTGTATGTTATTGTTAGTGTGGTCGAATCGAAGAAGCAGAGATGAAGAATGAGAAACTATCATTCCAGATCAAAGAATGTCAAAAATCACATAATTCCCTCCCCCTAGAAGAACAACCTAATTCCAGTACAAACCCACATATGATCAAACTCAGCCAGCCACAACGAATAACATGTTATATGCCACTATCATGATGAAGATAGAATGATGATATATATATACTCACTTAAATGGATGGTAACCAGAGCTGTTCCTCTACTCGTTGTGCCGGCTAGCTATGGAGACCACAGAACCAGAAATGAAGAAGAAGAGATGGCGGTTAATAAGTAGTTTGAGAACAGAAAGAAAAGACAAGAGAGGCCAAGGGATTTGTATATAATATGGTTGGAAGAGATCAATCGATGGATGTGTGTAGAAACTATAGAAAACAAAGCTTTTTTAAAATATGGGTTTTGGCTTGAACTAGACCAGACAGCTCATATGGAAGCTTTTGCTTTTCTCTATTCCTCTGTGTTTTGTCTCTCTGTCGATATATATACACAAAGCTGAAGAAGAAGAAGAAGAAGAAGAAGAAGAAGAGAGGAGGAAAAGGGAAGAGTTGTATAGAGAAGAAGGAAGGGAAGGGTATTGATTGCGCGTGGGGGTGGCAGATAGGAGGCTTTTGTGTGTGTTGTTTGGACGGCGTGTTGCACCAAATTTTCACGCCACCACACCACCACCCTATCTCTCTTCTTCTCTCCACCGCAATTTTGTATCCTAAGTATAAAATCTATTAGCTCCTTTCTTTCTCTCTCACACAACAGTCCATTTCACAAATCTAAGTGGGGTGTGTCCTTGACATTTTTTTTGTTTGTTTGTTATTGTTTATTTTGGTAGGGTTAGTACTTAGTAGGGTTGTTCAGAATCGATTGGTCGCAATAATTTGAACAGGAAAATTATCGTTTCACTTGATCGGTTGATAGCGGTAGTCATCTGGTAAGATGTGCGAGAGTATGGGTATGTTCGTCGCTTCAGATGAAAACCAGTAGTCGATCAACTAGGTTTGGAGTTAGTTTGCATATAGGTCAGCTAGGTCTTGTGGAAGTCGATGTAGAGCTGCTCGACGAACTGGCCTGATGTTCGCACAGTGGTTGAGAGTGTTGGACAAGTTGACAACGACAAAAGGTCTTTCCGACTCCGTTGGTTATTCACAGAAACTATAACTTCGGTTGGGGGGGGGGGGTGCATGACGTTGAACAGAAAATTACAGAGATAGCGTTTTTTCTCCTAGGTTGTGATAGAGTCTTTACACTCTCTTTTTCTTTCTTAGTGTACACTTTCTTTGTAGACTCTCTAGGGACAGTTTGTATTTCCCCTTTTAGTATACCCTAGTCACTTATATAAAAAAAAAACTGTGTGTTGTACTAACATCAAATGTTATTAGGGGGATTTCCAAATTTATGAAATTGACATCGTGGGTTACCTGCAGAATTCAAACACACAGCTTGTTGTCGATCATCTATTAAATACTCGCATATTTATGACCAAGTCAAAATGAATTCATCCAAGTAACCACATTGAAATCCATGTGAACTGAAAGACTCAAATTACCCTAATTCTTCGAATGTGTGTAGATATACAACAATAAATATTATACAATTGGTGTACATATTCATGAAATATGTGCACCATATATACTTCTGTTTCGATCTTACCATGCATTAAGAAGATTTAGACACAACTTTTACTAAACAAACACAAGTATGTCATGTCACGAACAAAATCATTCTAATAACATAATAACCAGAGTTTTTTTTTAGGAATGGCAAGAATTAATCATATTCAAGATATAACATTATCTTAGAACACCAACTTATATGAGAGATGGAATGTCATGCATCCTTAATAGACCAAACTCTGTTGAGTTATAGCATTCTCTTTTAGGTTAGGGGTCCCTTCAAGAAAAACATTCTGCTTTTTCTTTCTTATGTTTGATTTACTCTTTTGTTTTATGAGCTAGCTAGCTGACGATGTTCCTGTCACACTCACCACATTCCCTCTGGCTCTTCTTAATTTTCTCCAGTTTTGTCTGTTTGGTGCGCCGCCCTTTTCCAGTTGGCACCATTCACCTTCTGCCATCTGGCTCGAGGTTTTTCCTCTGGCTGACTGAATTGTTTGTTACGATCGAACTTCCATTTCCCAATTGGCTAGCCAGCTAGTTGTCTACATCAAACTAGCCAATGATTAATAATATCCATGTCCTTTCTTTCTTTCTTTCTGTGCTTCTGGATGGCCTTCCCTTTCCCAAAGCAACATAATTAGTTACATTCAAGCCACTGCCTTCTCTCTCCCTGGTTTGATAAGATAATCAATCATGTAAGTTGCAAGTGCATGAATTTCCATCGTTGTAAGAACTTGACAGAAGAGAGAAGCTAATTTAACCAATGTAAAACTTCAAATAGTTGAGTTACTTTCCAAAAACTTTGAGCAAATATATTGAACTTAATGGGTTCTAATTGTTAAAGTGTTCATATATATGTTGGTAGCAATTGAAGAGATGGTGTTATAATGTGATTGGATCGTGAATGGTTTTACATCTACGATAAAATGAAGAACTCTAATACGATCTTGTTATATGGTATACGTAAATAATAAACTTCCTGCTTTAAATGTCAAAGTATATTATCTCTGTCATGAAACCTCAAAACCTTTTTTTTTTTGCATTAGTGTACTTTTAACCACTCGATATGTTATCTACAATAATAGTTTTCCATCCAATCCTTCCTCATTTTTAAATTTCATATCATATTACAAAGAGTGAACATCGGTCGATTCGGTCTAGGAATGGATCAAATCGAGATAAAACCACATCAATATCAAAAGAAAATTTAGGACCATTTTGGTCTGATTCTCTCCGGTCCAGATTCAGTTATGACATGCTTTTTCTGTATACTTAAGAACACTTGTAGGATAGGAACCAAATCGAAATATATTTGTTCCGATTCTATTTAATCCAAATACCAATTCTATACAATTTAGTCTGGTCCGGTGTAGACTGGATCAAGTTTTTAATTGTTATCGTACATAAGTGAGATCATAATTTTGTATTGAGGACTCTTCTTTTCTGTTGTGTGACTCTTTTCGAAAGGCTGGACTATATGTGCAGGAAATGGAATGGAAGATTTGAGTCTTATTTACCTTTCTTTCCCCATTTGTGATCTTTCACCATCTTCAACTCAGAGTATAGCTAGAGAATGATGAATTGCTCCATAAGAAGAATGTGATGAATTGTGAAAGTTTTTCTGTCTTGCGGTCGAATCAAGAATTGAGGAAAGCAAACGAACGATTGAGGATAGATTCAATGTATTACCATCACATGTCGTTAGTAAAAAGTTTCTTCTTTTGGTGGTATGAGATATATAGCTAGCTAGCTTGAAGATTACCATATAGGTCGTTCAAAAGCCTTTTTGTGACTCTAGATTCCATCACTCCTATAGCTAGCGATTTACCTTTCACCTTACTCTAGTTCACTATGTATCCTCACATTGAATAATAATGAAAAAATGGTCAAATTCAAAACAGTGTTTATCATAAACATCCGACTCGACGAGAAAAATATTGCATCGTCATCACTGGAAAGTTGTAGGAGTAAGAGGTGGCACTGTTGCATCGGGTGATGAGAATGTGTTGGGTTTGTGAATGAGAATGCTCCGTTCATGATAAGTAAGCAAACATGCGAGGGTCGACTATAGTAAACTCTTTCTGGATAGGTTAACAAATATTAAGTATTTTAGAGAGTTGAGTAGCTAGTACCATATCGAAGGGATCTCAAGTGTAAAACGATAATAATCTTCAAGATAACCTTATGCAAGATTTGTCATACCTAAGATCTCTCTCTG